AGAGCCAGGGTCTGTCTGCCTCCACCTTGAAGGAGACCCACCTGGCCTGACCACTCTTCCCCCAGCCCTCCAGTCTAACTTGGCCTAGGTGGGAACGGTCTGGACCAGCTCAGACTGAACACGTCCATTCTTAGGAGGGAACGACATCCAGTTCCAGAACAGGATGACCACTGTGGCAGGGAACAGAGGGCCATGCAGGTGTGATGATGGCCTAGTGGGAATGACCCTCCTGCAGATGGAGCTGGATCTTTCCAGAAGAAACACAGGAGGCTGGCTCCTCAGGCCCCCGTGGGGAACTTCTCTGCTGACCTCATGAAGCATAAGCAGGCTTTTACACTAAGCCTTGAGCTGTAGATGAAGGAACCCACCCTGAGGAAAGCCACAGCCCATGGACAGTCATGGGGTCCCCAGAGCCTGTAGGGTGTCCTGAAAATACAAGGGCTGGGGTGCCTCCTCACCAATTCTCCTGGTGGTTGCCCGCTCCTCTGCTGGACACCCCAACTTGTGGGATATATCAAGTCTCCAGGCTGGACCTGGTACATTCTTCCCCATCCTGGAATGGACTTTCCTGTTCCGGCGTTCCCCTGTTCTGTGACCCACTGGGTGGCCTCAGAGAACCCCCTCCATGCCACAGTGGACTTGTAGCCCGACTCTCAGCAAGGAGCCTCTCCCCTCTCTGTCCCCAGGACTGATGTAGACACAACACTCAGGGACACATAGGAGATGATCAGCCCACTCCTCCCTGGCAAGGAACCAGGGACCACGCTGGCCTTCAGAAACTGAGGCAGGCTGGGAAGTGGAGGTGATGGTTCAGAATCAGTGGGCCCATGGGTGTGGCCAGGACACACCCAGGAACCCAGCAGGGCCTCATGAGCGCCAGAGAAGGCAAGGTACCAGACCAGAGGGAGTGGTGAACAAGTGCAGCGCCTGCCTTATAAGGCAGCCTGGGGAGCCGCCGGTGTGGCTGTGCGCCAGAGGGGAGGCTGCAGGAGCTGAGCCAGCACCCTACCCGGGCAGTGAAATTCTGTATCCCAGAACCACCCAGGGATCTATGACACCAGGAACCCACCATACAGAGGGAGAGCTTAGATCTCGCCAAGCCCTGGACTAGGAGAATGAAGCCAGGGAGCCTCGGCTGCCCCTTCCCTTCAGCTACCTAGGTCCTCACACTCCTTCCAGGACTCTGCCAGGGAACACCCTCCCAGTGCACCCAGAGGATGACTCCACCTCAACCCTGACCCCAGGGACAAGTAAGTTTGTGGGGCAGGAAACCAGGGCCCCTGGGAAGAAGTTGCAAGAAGTATCTTGGTCCCTTGGGGGTCCTGTGGGATCCCCACATGTGCCCGCAGCAGCCACCAAAATGCTGTCCCATGTCACCACCTGCCATTCACCACTATTATTTTACTGGGCATCTGTCATGTCCAAGTCACATACCAGTCACCTTACAGTCTCTATAGAAACAGATAACAGCCCGAGCTCTGCCCTTGAGAACTCCAGCCTTTTGTCAGGATCCTAAAGACTACGGCAGAGTGTCCAGGGTAATGAAAGCTTATGGTTAAATTTCAGTTTTTTCCTAATGTTCACGTTTCCTGCATTTTTAAGAATAGTAAATTACTGATTGTCCTACGGAAATCTGTCTCTGCACTGGAAAAAGAGGCTAGCAGAGGAAAGATGGTTCACACACAAATAATTTACATCCTAGAAAAACACAAAGACTCACCAGAGTTGTAGGAACACAGGCTGTTTCAAGCTATAGGAAAGGATGGGTAGGGATTTGAGGGGCGTGTAGGAGTTCCACAAAGCTAAAACAGTGGTCAGGAGGTCAGAGCTGAGGGCTTACAAGGAACTGTGGGAGACCCAGAAGAGCTGAGGAGGTACAGTTAGGGGGCAGGAAGGACCCTGCTACAGGGTATCAGGCCAGGAACAGCTCAGCAGGGGTACCAAAAGACCCCTTGGATGGGTGACCAGGAGGATGGAGAATGAGCTGTAGCCTTGGAAGAGAAGTTGGGAGTCGGGGCATGCCATATGATTTCCAACAGGCTCCCTGAAGAAGGCCCTGCCTGCCTGTCTCTCCCTACCCTGCCCTCTGAGGAAAGGAACTGCACTATCTTGGAGCTCTAGACGATGAAGGGCCTTCCATGTGGCTGGGGTGGGGGTGGAGGCTCCGCCATTGGTAAATGCTGCCCTGTAAGTGCAAGGACCTGGTTTATTCCCAGCACCCACAGTCTTAGCATCCACACGAAGCACTTACAGCCTGAGCATTGGAGAGGCAGAAACAGGAGGATGCTGGGAGGTTGCCAGCCAGGCAAGCCCCAGATCCCAGTGAGAAAGCCTGTCGCCGAAAAAGGTGGAGGCTGGAGAGATGGTACAGACGTTAAGAACACTTGTTTGGTCCCGGCACCCACATGGTGGCTCACAACCATCCCCGACTCCAAATCTGGAGGTTCTGATGCCCTCTTCTGACCTCTGCAGGTACCAGGCATGAACACTGTGCACATACATACATGAAGGATACATACAAAGCAGTCATACACATAAAATAAAATAAATATAGCTAAAATTAAAAAAAACAAAAACAAGACAAGGTGGGTGCCTGAGGAACGACACCTGGCCTCACCCTCACACACAAACACACACACTCATTCACACCTTTCTTCACCCTAGCCTATTGAATTCCTGCCCTCCTCTACAGGTTTCCACAGGGCTCTTTTCCCAGTCCACCCACCATCTGCCCACAAGCTCCTGAGGGCAGAGGCCCAGGGCCGGGCACAGCCCTGTGTACAGTTTCTCACCAGAGGACAACAGCATCCTTAAGCAGACATTCCGCACCCCACCCCAGAACCAGGACCACCTTCCACGCATCCAGCACCAGCTGTGATCAACAGCTGGGCGGCTTGGTGCAGCTGTCTATCTCTCTACCCACATCCTGTCTGAGTCAGCAGTGTGAAAATCTCATCTGAGGAGAGAGACGTATCTGGTGCCTTTGGAGGTCTCAAATCAAGCAGAGACTGTGGAGGAAGGACAGGACACTGGCCCCTCTACTCAACAAGGCCCGGGTCCTTTGTTTCCCCCACCTGAGGTCTGGACACTGAGTCTGGGCAAGCCTCAGCAGGGTCAAGTTTAGGACTCAGGGAGAAAGGCACAGCCACACCCAGGTCTGGAAGGCCTTCAAAGGTTCACGAGTCCTGAGCGTTTATTGTGATCTGACACCTGGCACTCTAAGAAGGCTGAGCCCCAGGTCCCCAGACCCAGAGGCTCCCAGGAGGAATCTCCACACCCTCATCCCAGAGTGGTCCCAAGTTCACCAACCACTAGAGAATCGAAGAACCGGGGCTTTAAAAAGCTAGGTGCCCCACGGTGCCGCAAGCGTTATTTACAAGAGTCAAATGTTCATCAGTGGACAAACTGATTCTACCTGAGGCTGGGGCATGGCTCAGTGGTAGCACGCTTGCCTGGCAGGCACAAGTCCCTGGGTTCAAATTTCATTACAGGGGGAAAAAAAAAGTGTTCTGTCTACCCACACAATACTACTCCGTTCTTAAAAGGAACGAAGTTCAGACACAGACTACAATGTGGGTGAATGTTGAGGCCACTAGGCCAGCCAAGACGAGTAGTGTCAACTGAGACAGAATAACATGGCGCTGTCAGGACCCGAGGAAGGAGGTGTAGGGAGTTGCTTCACGGGGAACAGGGTTTCTGTTTGGGATGTGGGAAGAAAGTTCTGGAAAACCCTGAAGGTGGTACTGGTGGCACAACCCAAATGTGCTTAACGGCACCACACACTCTCACACGGCACAACAGCCAATGTACGCTGTGCGCATTGCACTGTAATAAACGACAGTAACTAAAGCAGAGAGGGCAGAGGGCAGAGGGCAGAGGTGGCGCTCTCTGCTCCCCGGCCACTTTCCCGCCATGATGATGGCATCTTCTGGAACCACGAGCCAAAACAAACCCCCCTTCCCATCCTTAAGGGTTTGCAATAAGAGTCACTCACGGAGGGAGAAGGCCAGACTAGAGAGAGGAGGACGGGGGCTGCTGTGGGATGGTCTGTATGTCAAATGTGTTGCTCTGATTGGTCAATAAATAAAATACTGATTGGCCAGTGGCCAGGCAGGAAGTATAGGCAGGACAAGAGGAGAATAAAGCTGGGAAGTGGAAGGCTGAGTCAGAGAGACACTGCCAGCCACCATGATGACAAACAGCATGTGAAGATGCCGGTAAGCCACGAGCCACGTGGCAAGGTATAGATTTATAGAAATGGATTAATTTAAGCTATAAGAACAGTTAGCAAGAAGCCTGCCACGGCCATACAGTTTATAACCAATATAAGTCTCTGTGTTTACTTGGTCGGGTCTGAGCAGCAGTGGGACTGGCAGGTGAGAGAGATTTGTCCTGACTGTGGGCCAGGCAGGAAAAGTCTAGCTACAGGAGACTCCAGTGCAAACCTCAGGAGAACCTACGCTCCTCCTGTGCCCTCCTCGGCTCTGGGCTTCTACCAGGCTCACAGGCTGCAGTTTCTCATGGGCAGAGCTCTGCCTCCCAGAAGCCATCACAAGCACATAACTTGTTCCCTGCCCCATGGGAGAGCACAGTGACTCCTGTACCAACTACTGCTCTACAGCCTCCCAGGCCTCCCAGTTCCAGGATCACACGACAGAGAACTGGCATAGTCCAATTGTTGGCCACCAGGAGCTTGGTGCTTCAGAGGTACTTCCCAACTGCAGGCTCCTGCTACGGCCCCTGAGCCTTAAGACACAACTCTGCACATCCAAGTGCACTCGTGCATGCATGCACATACTCACACAACACATACATACATACACATACACACACACACACACACACACACACACACATACACACAGAGGGAGGGAGGGAGGGATGGAGGGAGGGAGGGAGGGAGGGAGAGAGAGAGAGAGAGATCGGATCTCTTCCAGGAATCTCACAGAAAGATCCCATCCCAAGTACATAGCCAGAAGACCCAGCCCTGGGTTACTCACCCTCCTGGTTCCGGTATGGGACCTCAGCCACAGGGGGCCTGGGCTCCAGCCTGCTCTGCAGCTGAGACATCGGGGCCTCGGAGTTCTCCAGGGTCTGGGGCGGGAGTGGGCAGTTGGGTGCCTCGGCTGGCTTGGGCACCTGGATCTCTACCCTCTTGGGGGCAGCATCAGTGACAGTGGCAGGGACCTCGGGGATCTTGGAGACAGGGGTCTCCACCCTGCGGTGCACTGACTCCTGGGGCTTGACAATGGTGATCTCCGTCCTCCGAGGGACTGGCTCTGGTGTCTTATGGCCCAGGACTTCGGCCCTCTTCAGCCCGAACCGCGAGGTCCCAGCAGCTGAGCCTGCGTTCTCCACCTGCTTGGAGGAGATGTCAATGGAGAGCTCCGTGCGGCGAGACATAGGCTCAGATGCCTTGGGCCCTGCCAGCTCCACCCTCCGTAGGGATGGCTTGGGTGAGCGCTGGCTCAGGGAGTCTACAAGGCGAGCAGCAGGCTCTGAGTTCTTCACACCCAGGTCCTGGAATTTCTGGCTGGAGCTGGCCACCGTGGCTCGGAGCAGAGGGGTCTGGACCCTCCGGGGTGGCGTGGAGTTGGGTGGCTCAATCTCCTCGACTTCAAATGATCTCTTTAAGGCTGAAAGAGAGAGAGGGCAGTGGATATGGTGTGCACACTGGCAGAGGGAGCCTGGCATTACAGGATGCATTCTGTGTTTAAAAAAGGGCAAAGGTGCCAGGCCAGGGGGAGCAGAAAATCCCAAGTACTTGGGAGGCTGAGGGAAGATCTCAAGTTCAAGACCCGTCTGTGCTGTTGACCAAGTTCAAAGCCAACACAGGTAACTTTGTGAGAACCTGTCCCTAAAGAGCGAGGAATAGATACAGCTCAGTGGAGGAATACTTGCCTACCATGCCTAAAGCCATCGGATTGATACCCAACACAGTCAAAACGGAAAAAAGAAAGGACCTGGAGAGGTACGCTGGCTAGGAAGTCACAGGGCTCAGAAAGCCACCTCCCTCTTCTGCCTCTACCCATAAGAGACAAGTCCACTGTAGGACTCCCACAGAGCACCAGCTTTCAGGGGCTGCAGTGAGAGGAAGGTCACCTCGCCCGCCCGCTCTGCTGTGGCCACAGCTCAGGCCCCACAGGCCCCGCTCTAGAGCGGCCATAGGATGCTCTGACTAAGGACTCCAGAGTTTCTCTCCTGTGGCTTTCCTCCCTTCTTCCTCCCCTCCCTTTACACACACCCAGACCCCATCAGCCAATAGAGCACTGTCAGCCTCAGAGCAATGACACCCGTGACACCCCAACAGCTGCGCTATAAAGAATATTATTTCTTGTTGCTGGGTGTTGGTGGCACACACCTTTAATCCCAGCACTCAGGAGGCAGAGGCAGATGGATCTCTGTGAGTTTGAGGCCAGCCTGGGCTACAGAGCAAGTCGTAGGACAGCCAGGGCTACACAGAGAAACACTGTCTCAAAAATAAATAAAATAAAAAAAGAAAGAAAGAAATGAAAATTATTCCTGGGGCTGGAGAGATGGATCAGAAGTGTAGAGCACTTACTGCTCTGGCAGAGGATCTGGGTTCAATTCCCAGCACTCACATGGTAGCTCACAACCACCCACAATTCCATGTCTCTTCTGACCTCTGCAGCTTCTGTATGCACGTAGTGCACATATAATCGCTCAGGCACACTCACATACGTATAGAGTAAATATTTAGGGGAAAAAAAAGATTATTCCCTGACTAGCTATTGAGGTAGTTTAGCGTGTAAAGACTCTTATGACCAAGATTGACAACCCGAGTTCCACCCCAATATCCACACACTAGAAAGAAGTGACCCCACAAGCTGTCCTCTGACCCACATGCACACATAACTAACTAACTAAATAAATGTAATTTGAAAAAGAATACTATTTCCCTGGCAGAGGACACCCTGTGACATGCCCAACAGTGTGGAACACCTGTCTTTGGTACCAAGGCTGTAAGGAACCCCTCAACCGCCTGCTTCCTAGGCTCAGTGCACGCTCACCGACCTCCTCAGTCTTGACCCTGGTCATGCAGGATGCTGACCACCCAGTTCCCACCCTGAGGACCAGTGTTTCCACTCAGCAATGTTGACATCGCCACTGGAGTCTGCTCCTGGGGGAGCAGCAGGGTGGTGGCTAGGAAGGCTCCATCCTCTTGTCTTTGCGGCCACCAGCAAAATGAGAACCAGCTGTTTAGGGTAGTCAGGCGCAGAGCAGGAAGGGCCCACGTGGCTGGAGCACTCAACAGCGCCAAAGACTCCAGACAATGCAGGGTCTTCCTCACCAGCCCCAGGACTCAGATTTCATGGGACCCCATGGTGTCCTCTTCCTGCCCACAGCAAGAAGGACCAAGAGCTGGCCCAGCCCCTCACAACAGCTCCAGGGTCATATGTAACCAGCTGCCTCCAGCCTTCTCCAAATGCAAACACCCCAACCCCCAGTCCCATCCTGCCCCAGGTCTCCAGCACCAGATTTCCTGTAGAGGACTACAGGCTGGGACAGGGGCACTCACTTGTCAGCAAAATGCTCCCAGAACCCACATTTTAAAAAGCCAGGTATGGGGGCACACCTTGTAATTGCAATGCTGGGGAAGTGAAGCTCGGTGGGACCCAGAACTTACTGTCTAATCAACCGAGCCTCTTACGAGAGTTCCAGGTCAGTGAGACTGATTCAAAAATAACTGAGGGGCTGGAGAGATGGCTTAGCGGTTAAGAGCACTAGCTGCTCTTCTAGAGGTCCTGAGTTCAATTCCCAGCGACCACATGGTGGCTCCCAACCATCTGTAATAGGATCCAATACCCTCCTCTGTCGAGCAAAGGAACATGCACACATAGCACTAATTAAATAAATCTTAAAAACCAAAACACAAAAGGACAAATTGAAGCTGACTCCGATGAATGAATGTGTTATGCACATGCACGCACGCACGCACGCACGCACACACGCATGCACACTGATGGTGTCAGAATTTCTTTCCTGGGAAACATGAACAACGTCTCCTAAGGTCCCAACAATAAATTAAAATATGATTCCAGAGCTGCCCCTGGGGAACTGGTGAGGTGAGGGGTTACCTGCAGGAGCATGGGTGACCCCAAAGCAGCCACACTAGAATGTCTTCCCCAGAATGAGTGATGGCGTCCCCACAGTCACATACATGGAGCCCCTCAGTTAACTTTCCCCAGCCTATATATACCAGCCCCTCTGGAGACCCCCAAGAGCAGCTAGGGGAGAACTGCTTGCCAGTAGCTGGGAGGAGTGGCTGTAATTTCAGGTGAGGAGCCAAGGCCCTCCCCACCTCCCTCCTTCTCTAGGGAATGTCAACAGCCCACTCCTGCCGGGCCCTGCAAGCAGGAACTGCTGTTGGGCGAGGGCAAGACTACATGGTGTGATGGGACACTGCCGAGGAGCAGGGCAGAGGAAGCCCAAGCTCCTGGGACCTGGCTCCCCAGACGGGAGCACTCCTGGGACCTGGCTCCCCAGACACAGGAGCACTCCTGTGGGTACCTCTTTCTAAGCCTGGTTACCCTTTGCTTCTGGTGGACACAGAAGGGAACAAGGCCCTGGGCTGCTGTGCTCAACCATCCTAGATGCCCAGGAAGGGACAGTTACCATCAGCTGACTGGCTGGGGGAGTGGGCAGTGGGGAGGCGGCGTGGACTTCAGGATACCTGTCTCTGGGGAATATGCAGTTCAGCTGTCAATGCCTAAGGCAATCCGAGCTTCTAACCTTCCAACAGAATCGAGAACACTGCATTGTTATGATTCCTTCTGATATTAATTAACTGATTTATTTTGTTTTTTCCAGTCTTGTGTAGGTGGACCTCAGACACAATCTGTAGTCAGGCTGACCTGGAACCCTGATAGCCCATCTCCACCTCCCAAATGCTCAGATTACATGGGTGTACCACCATGCCCAGAAAATAAAGTTGGAAACCCAGGTATTATAATAAATAATACCTTAGAATTCTTTTTTTCTTTGTGTATGACAGACAAATGTGCTCTACCACTGAGTTACATCCCCATTCATAAAGTACAACTACCCCCACTGCCCCCCACTGCCCGTCCCCCGTCCCCCACCACCCTTCATCATGCCTCCCCCTCCCCAGCCCCACATCCTCAGCAATGGGGATGGAGCCTTGGTCTTTTCCTTGCACTCTCCCAGCAGTCTACATTTCCACGCTGACTTTGAATGCTGGCACAAAGCAAAATGTAGCAGAGCTGAATAAAACTGCATCCATGGGCATCATGGGCATCAATCACTCATGATCTCAAGGCCCTTAGGTCCCTTGGCCAGCTATACAATGTGCACATAGACAGGAGGAGCCTGCCTTGGCTCAGGACCATCCCCAGATAAGAACCTGTTGTCCTCAGAAGAAGAATCAGGTCCCCAAGCCAGCCCTTTCCAGTCTCCCTGGATCCCACGCTGCCCACGGCACTCCTTCCCCGCCCCACTGGCTTCAGTGAGTACATTCAGAACCAGACACAGCCCACTCACAGCAACGCCATACCCTCACCAACTCCTAACAGTGTGGCCACGGGCTTCTAACTTTGGGCATGGAGCCCAGAGAATGGGCCCTGGGAACAGCGAGGCCCCACCTTCACCGCTATCTAGCCCAATAACCTCCACTTCAAAGGTTGAAGCAGCTTAGAAAGCAGTGTCCCCCTCCAAAAAAAAAAGACCTGTACAAGTGCTATCCCCACAGAGCCTGTGGAGGTGACCTTGTGGGAAAGGGGTCGTAGGGGTATAATCAAGATAAGAGCATTTGGAGGGACTGGAGAGATGGTTCAGTGGTTAAGAGCACTGACTGCTCTTCCAGAGGACCTGAGTTCAATTCCCAGCACCCACATGGCAGCTAACAACTGTCTGTAACTCCAAGATCTGACATGCTCACACAGACATGCATGCAGGTAAAACACCAATGCACATAAAATAAAAATAAATAAATTACTTTTAAAAAGAACATTTTGGATTCGGGACAGACACGAAGCAGAGTCCTTAAAAAGGAAATGTATAAGACTGTCTGAGAGCTAGAGAAGCCAGAGGACACAGAGTCAGAGATCTGAGTGATAACATGGCCCCCAGCCAAGGAAGACCAAGGGCCACAGCTGCTAGCACAGGCAGGAGGCACCCTCCCCTGGAGTGCTTGTATAGAGTGCAGCTTTACTGACACCTTGAATTTAAACTCCAAAACTAAGAGAGAACGGATGTGCTATTAGGCCACCCGGCCATGGCCACCAGGGCCCGGCCACCAGAGCCATGGGAGAGATGAAACTTGGAGTGGTGTGTGGTCATCGGGCCCTTCCTCTTTGTTACCTGGAGAACCCTCTGTGAAGCCCCACGAGATGCTACCGTACACCACACTGCAGCTCAATCACAAGGCATCTGTCTGTGGCCATGGAGACCCCTCTGCAGACCTGAGACCTGACTTAACCACATATCAGATCCCAAGGACTGGCTTGCTAGAAAGGCGGCCTTGCACAGGCCCAACAAGCTGGCGCATCCAAAGGGCTGGTAGGGAACACCCCCAATTGTGGGCTACTGCACACAGACAGGGCCAAGCCATATGGGAAAGGTCTCCACATTGCCCTTGGGAGCTAAAACAGTGCCA